AAAAAAAAAGGCTGAACAAAAAAAAAGCCGTTTGTGTTAACCACAGACATATTAGTGTTAACGGTAACGGTTCGACATTAGCTGCGTCTCCATAACTTCCCTTTCCACCTCTCTTAACACAGAACTTCCAGTTACATTTCAAAATAAGAGCAACATAATTGGTTAGTGGGGAGGGCTAAATGTTTGGGGGTTTGTTTTATACCTAGCCATTACATTAAAAAACAAAATCAGTTTTGGTTGTTGAATAATGTGAAAATAGTTACAATCGATTCATAAACAAAGAAACAAAGTAACCAAAATATTAATGATACTTAAACTGGCCTTGGGTCAAAGGATGTTTCCTTTAACTTCACATTTTCTTGTTCAACCTTTTAAATCAGTCACTGCAGATGAGTGATTGTCAGTTTCTGTCAGATTTCTGCAGCTGGAGCAGATATTTCTGTTTACTGGTTAACTTCCTCAGCTGTCTCACATTTTAAGGGTCAATCCTACTCCATGTTTCAGCTCCTTTCATAGATCAGATCTCATAGAAGAACTTCTAAAGAGAACATTTTGTTTTTTGCATTTGTTTTGGGCCGTTATCTCATCACAGGACTCATGATCTTTGAGACCAGACTTTTTGACAAATAGGAGCAGGTTTCGCTTCAGATGCTTCATATTTCATTGTACCCAGACCAGACTCACGGCAACCTGTGTCAGGTGCAGCCTACAACCCAAGAACAAAAGATAATCTTTTCATGTTTGACAGTAGATATAACGCTGGTTCTTAGAAACCTTCAGTTTAAAAAAAGAGCTGACGTAACTTACCTAAAGAGCAGCAAATACAGCTAACTAATCAGTGTCAGAAACGCCCACTGCAGAGAACCCCTTCTCACAGCATGCCATGATTTCAGCTCTCTGCGTCCTCTCTGCCACTTGCCAGCTCTCTTGGCCACGCCCACTTCTCTGCTGCAGAGCGGAGATGTGACAAGCTGCATGAAGAAGCTTCTCCTGCAGCTTGGGCTGCACACAGACCTGCGCAGCAGGTGCTAAATAATTCAAAATATTTCATTTTAAATTAAACTTCCATGCCGATCGTGCGGCTCATCCATCAATCAGCCAATCGTGTCCCATGTCCAATCTTGTTTTGAAAAACTTTGATAGAGCGAGTCCGCAAAAAACGAACCTTGAAGTAGCGAGGGACTACTGTATTCCTTTTAGGAAAAGCTGCAAACTCAAGCTGCTGTTTTTTTTCCTCCATCACTCACATCAACACTTCTTTAGATCATGTCAGAGCTCACACGAGCAAAGCATATGCAAATTAAACACTTAGAATAAGCTCCCGACCTCATATCTCATTATTTTTTAATGAATGCTAAAAAGACTAAGTCATACACTCCTTGTGAGCCTTTTAGCTAAATCTGAGCAAAAATCTAAAATGGCAGCGTTGCTGAATGTAATTTGTTAGATTCTATATTTACCCTAAAACAAACTTCTGTTAGTCCCATCTTGTGTGCCTCATTAGAAATGTAATATGAAAACTATCTCCATGAGTAAATAGGTGGCATTTATGTAATGATACAATAGAAAAAAATCAAGTTTACCAGTAAAATAAATTTAAATAAATAAATCATCCAATCGTGAGGTATGGAGGTACAAAACAAGACTATAAATACGTGAATTCAGTTTTTTGTTTGTTTGTTTGTTTTGTTTTTAAACTATGGAACAGTCTGAAATTTGTTTCAAGTGTTTTCCAGAGCTGGGAAAAAAATATGAAACAGAAAATGGAAAAACTTTAGCTCTTTTCACTTTTGAATTTTCAAAAGATAAAAACGGACTAAACAAGTATTTTTCCACATTAATGGAAAAGGGGCAAATATAGCCAATCATTTCTGCAAAGCAAAACAACTTTTACATGTACTATTTTGTGGAGGAAGTTATTTATCCTACCCACTGAAACTAAATGTTTTTGTGGAGACGCTCCTCACATCAGTGTCTAGAATTGTGCTGCATGTTGGAGCAGCTGTTATTCATTATAAGAGTTTGCTTTTGGAAACTTTAATTCCTCTTTTTCCAGATGTAAATCACCTTTTGGTATCGAAAGCTGTGCAGCTGGAAGGATTTTTACTAAAACCTTTTTAACTTTTTGAACATTTGTTATGATGCGTAACCATGGCAGCAAGGTGGTTTTTTTTTTTTTTTAACAACTGGAGCAGCTGATCAACATCTCAACTACAGCCCCAAATGTCAAGTGAGTTGAAAAGGAGGTGTCGTAGATGCAGTCCCGTCACCCTGCCAGCTGTGCTCGAGTGCCTGACCACTGAGATCCTGGAACTGGCAGGAAACACAGCTCATGATAACAGAAGGACCGGGATCATCCCCCGGCACCTGCAGCTGACTGTCCACAGCGACGAGAAGCTTGGCAGGCTGCTGGGAGGAGTTCTGCCCGGCATTCGGGTGGTCCCGCAGCCTGGGGGAACCGAGAGACCTGCCGAATCTGGGTGGACGGATCAGATGGTACCTGCGGCCATTTTCTTCAGATCCGCTGTGGGATGGACCTTTACAAGAGATCCTTCCTGCCTACAGCCATCAGTATCTATAACATCTCTTAATGAAACAAAGAGAACGAGTTACAACAATATTTAATTTCCCTTTGGGATTAATAAAGTATTTCTGAATTGAATTGAATCTAATCTTTTAAATTAGTCAAATAAATAATGAAGACAAAAATCACTAAAATAATCTATTAGTCATCAGCATTGACTGTTGAAGTTTGATGAGACATTTTTACATGATATTTAGAAGTTTAAATAAAAAGTGACTATTAACCAAACTATATCTGCATATTATCTGACTTTTATATTATTGAGAGCGTTCTCTTTAATCTAATATAAATGACATCTTAAAAATCTTATTGCCAATGAATCAACTTGCAAACAATAATAAAATGTATTTATGCATTTACCATTGGTTCAATACAGAACACTTTTTTTTGTTTCAGTACTCTTTTGTACGTTGACATCTTTGAACAAAACAGTCGGTTCCAATAAGAGCACCTCACACGGACTTTGTCTGAATAACTAGAATATTACCTGCATGTTAAATAAACCGTTTGTCGAGTAATTACTACAAATAGGAGCAGAGCTTTCAAAATAATGATTATTTTGTGTCAAAGAAGAATTTAACCCTGGTTTTTAAAAAGACAGATTACTAGACAAACTTTATCAGTAGTATATATATATATATATATATATTTTTATATTATATTATAAAACATATTTGTGTGTGTGTGTGTGGGGGGGGGGTGTAAAGAATAACAAATAAATACAATTAAATTAACTAATCCATTGAGAAATCTCTAAATTACAGTGGAAATTTACAGAGTTTTAAAACCAAAAATATTGTAGGAATCCTGCTAATTTAAAGCACCGACGAGAAAAAGGAATAATTACTAAAAACAAAACACAAAGAAGAAACAAGAAGAAGAAAGACTGGCATCTGCTACAAAACCACTTTAAAACTTGTTTAAGTTCAAATGGTTCAAGTTACGAGTGTGTGTGGAAGAACTTTCACATCCGATGCTTCACTTTATACCAGATTGGAACTAGAATTAAAATGAGAAGCTTTTAAAGCGAAAACCATTGATTATTAATAATCATACACTTGTGTGTTTTGGAAAAAGAAAAAAGCCCAGCCTCTTTTCTACTTTTAATACGACTGTACCAGAACAAGCTGCAGTTCTGCGCTGACCAGCTAAGAAAAGCTCGAGACTGTTAGAGGTCAGCTTCTCCTGCAGCACCTGAGCTGTTCACATTAAAGCTCAAACTGTTTGGGAGCTCAACTCATGTCTGGTGAACAAAAACACAGGCTGATAAATCAGAAGAGTATAAATCAGAATAATATTAAATAAGAACATTTGTTAACCTGAGTGTTAAAAAAAAGAAATTAACAGCCACAAGATGCTTTTATTATTATTTTTTTGTACTTAATTAAAAGGCTTTTCACAAAGCTTTCAGACATTTAGCGCATGATAATGATAATTTCCTGTTGGAGCTTTATCTCTACAGTGAGCTCGACAGGAAATCATTCTCAGCATGTAAACACTCCTGATTTGTTTCAGGATTGACAAATGTTGAAATATTATCAGCAGTAAATGTGTCTCTGAAATTACAAAAACATACCACCACATGATCTGGAAGCAGAAATAATATTTTAAAGTGTTGTTTTGTCCTAAAAACTGTTATTTCTGAAAACACCACTGTGAAAACGTAAAATTAGGACAACGAGAAACATTCGGTTATCTTCTTAGTGTTACTCAGGAAAAAAAAAATCCTTCATATTAGGGATACTGAATAAATATACTAATCCCCCCACCCATTTTGATTACATGATACAACTGCCTGCCATACTGCACCTCTGTCTCTCTTCGCAGCAGCTGTCTGTGATCAGTGGCATCCCTGAGGTTTTTTTTTCTTTTCACGCAGCTGATTGAACTAAAATAGGCAGGTCTTAAGGATCCTGCATGTTCTTCTCAACCTGCCATGTTCTGTTTGGTGTTCAGAGAGAATCTGACTCAGCTTCTTTCCTGGCGTTTGACAAATGCAGATATTACAAAAAATAAATGTGTGATTGCTTTTGGAGTGATTACCTGTGACCTACTATCACACACGCACATATATATATATACATATATATGTATATATATATATATATATATGTATATGTGTGTATATCTATATGTATATATACGTATATACATATATATACATATATATATATACATACATACATATATATACACACATATATATACACATATATATATACACATATATATATATATATATATACATATATATACACATATATATATATATATATACATATAT